GTAGGAATGTAAATTAACACAACCACTATGGAGAACAGTATTAAGATTCCACAAAAAACTAAAAAAGAGAACTACCACATGACCCAACAATCCTACTGCTAGGTATATATCCAAAAGAAAGAAAATCAGTATATCAAGAAGATATCTTCACTCCCACGTTTTGCAGCACTACTCACAATAGCCAAGATTTGCAATTAACCTAAGTGTCCATCAACAGATGAATGGATAAAGAAAATGTGATACCTATACACAATGGAATATTATTCAGCCATAACAAAGACTGAAATCCTGTCATTTGCAACAACCTAGATGGAACTGAAGAACATTAAGTTAAGTGAAATAAGCCAAGCACAGAAAGACAAATTTCCTGTGTTCTCACTCATATGTGGAGGCTAAAAATTAAACCAATTGATATCATGGAGACAGAGAGTAGAATGATGGTTACCAGAGGCTGGGAAGGGTAGCAGGGAGGAAGGGATAAAGTGGGGATGGTTAATGGGTGCAAAAAAAGATAGAATGAACAATACTTGATAACAAAACAAAATAAATGTAGTCAACAGTGAGTTATGGTACACTTTAAAATAACTAAGAGTGGAATTGGAATGTTCCTAACACAAAGAAATGATAAATGCTTGAGGTGACAGATACTCCAATTACACTGATTTGCTGATACACATTGTATGCCTATATCAAACCATCAAATGTACCCCATAAATATATACAACTATGATGTACCCATAATAATTAAAACTATTTTAAAAATTCAAAATAAGAAAACATTGTGGAGGAAAAATATCCAGCAGCCCACTATGGACTTAGTATCCTTATTGAGAGTCAGTCCACACTTAAAGGCTCATAAAATTGGGGGATACGGAGAGGAAAAACCACCCTATGCTCAGCCTTTCTAATACTTGCTCTCTCTGTAGACCTGAGAATAATCACACCAGAGACTGAAGGTACTTGTGCTACTTTGAAAAAACAGGACCACCTCACTTAGAGACTCCTCCCAGGAATGTTTCACACAGTTCTACCTAGGAGACGTACCTTCAGGGGCAGCACCTCTTTGTTTATGGAGAAGAAGGAGGCCATGGCTTTCGTCCACGAACAAAGACCAGCTACATTTCCACATACGCGTTTAGCAGTTTCAATGTTATAGTCTGCCATTTCAAAGTAAGGATTCAAGAATTCTATCACCTCTTCATTGATTGTATCTTTTGGGAATTGCTATGGAAGAAAGGAATAAAATAAAAATGAAAACACTTCTTTCCATGAAATCATACTCACGTTGTACTCTCAATGCCATTGAAACTACTGAACAACCAAAAATGGATGAATGGTATCATATTAATATTTTGTCAATATTTCAGCATATTAGGCAAAAGTCCCAAAAGTGAAAGCACAGTAGGAAATGATAGCAAAGAAGTCTGTTAAAGTATACTTTGTCTTCTGTAGGAAAGAGATACCATCCCTAAATAAATAGACTGGGATCCA